TTTTAAATCTATGTAGAGGCTGGGAAGATGGCTGTCAGTAAAGCATGCCATTTAAGCACGAGGCTCTGAGTTGGATCCCTAGAACCCAAGTAAAAGTGTGGTTGCACATACTTGTAATTCTAGCACTGGGAAGTGGAGACAGATTTCCTTAGGCTCACTGGCCAGCCGAGCCTAGCCCATGTGGAGATCTCCAGGCCAGTGAGAGACTTTGACTTAAAAATAAGGGGGATGGTTCCTGTGGTAGTTCAAATGTATGTGGTCTCCATAAGCTCATAGGAAGTGACACGATTAGGTGTGAACTTGTTGGAGGAAGTGTGGTCTTCTTGGAGGAGGCTGGAAGACCCATGCCTTTAATCCAGATGTTGAGGCTGTAGGGCACATTTTTAATCTGGGCCACACCTTCTGTTGGAAGTGTGTCACTGTAGGGACAGGCTTTGAGGTCTTTTTCTCAAGCTTCACTCAGTGTGACAGTCAGTCGACTTCCTGTTGCCTCTGAGTCAAGATGTAAGCACTCTCAGCTCCAGCACCACAGCTGCCTGGTGCCGCCATGCTCCCCACCATCATGGACTGAACCTCTGAACTGTAAGCAAGCAACCACAATCAAATGTTTCCTTTTTAAGAGTTGCCATGTTCATGGTGTCTCTTCACACAACAACCCTGACTAAGGCCGCACCTGACAACCTATGTGGTCTGTAGGCCTCCACACACGGGTACATACACACCTGCAACCACAATAAGGAGGGCCAGTGAAATGGCTCAGCCCGTAAAGGTGCTTGCCACACATGTGTTATGGCCTGCAACCAATCTCCAGAACCCACGCAAAAGTAGAAGGAAAGAACCAATCCACCAAGTTGTTTTGTCCTCTGACCCCTCACACATGGGCTGTGGCACACGTTCCCACATATATGATAGTAGTTTTTTAAGTCGCAGAGGACAGGGTCTACTGTGTGATGGTGGAGCTGAGATCTTATTGGAATTCAGACTGTGTACAGTGTCCTGGGTCTGGGTCTATGGCACTGGGCCATGGCAGGCAGGCCACCTAGGGCTCTTTCCTGCTCCACAGTGAATGTCACCAGAGTTTGAAGCTTTTGACAAAGACCTTCCCAACAAGGGGCTTGCAGTGATGTATGAGTCCCCAGGTGATATGCAGGCATGTGACTCCTGTGTTCTCTTCCCTGGTGCCCCAGCAGAACCTGAATGTTGCTTCTGCTTCACAAATAGTGACAAGGTCCTGGACATGGGAGCCTAGGACGGAAGGAGCCTCGGCACTACCTGACCAGGTGCGTCACCTCTCTGATGCCACCTGCCAACCCTTCCTTCTCCAGACAGCAGACCCTCAGCCATCCAGTTACAGAAGTCCTGAAGAACAAAACGCTTTGAAATCAGGTTATATGAACCCAGTTTTCCTGCTTATTTGCTGTATAACATCAAGCAAGCAACCCTACCTCTCTGTTCAACTATCAGGAAGGGATCCAGTCCTTCTATGTTGCTTTGCCAGGAAGATCCAATGAGAGAACACAGGTCAGAGGTCAGCATGTGCTTAGTGAACAGTAGGTCTTCAGCAACCGTCAGATCCCTTCCCCTCCCAACTCCCAGCAGCCTCTGCAGGCAGGCTCTCATCAGCCTCCACCAGGCCATGACACAGACTGGATTTTCTCCTGAATGACAGGTTCAAGGAGGTGGAACAGACAAGTACTCGCTGTTCAGGGTACAGGTTTCTCCAAAACCTGACTCTCAGGATTCATTTTAGAGATCATGGGACTTAACTGGCATGCAGTTCTCAGGCCAGCCTCAGTCTCTCCAGGAGGGGCAGCCTCCTGACCGTTACCCTGTCATAGACTGAAGACATCTTCCTCACTGTTAACCTCATTCTAGTGCCAGAACTGGGAGCAGGGAGGAGTGAAAGAAGAGGGAGGAGGGAGCATGGGTAGGAAGAGGGAGGAGGGAAGTGGGGCATGGAGCTAGCAGGTTCTGGTTATGCAATGGGAATGTTTGCAGAATCAGGGCTTGGAGCGCTGTTCTGTGCACATCTGGCCCAGCTGGTCCCTGCCCACCACCTGTTTGTAGATGGTGTTTGTGGAGATGGGATTTGCCCAAAGTCCCACATGGAGGATATGCAATGGTGGCAATGGGCGAGCTTTAATGGGACACACGGGACAGGACACTCAAGGCACAGCACCTCTTTCTTATCTAGCTCTCCTATGGGATAGCAGAGACAGTGACTATAGCACCAGGGAGCGGTCGCTTCCATGTCTCATTTGACAAAAGACATGACCTAGAAAGTGCTCAGGGGGGCTTGTTCCACACTCAGAACCGTGTGAAGTGTGGGCAAGGGCTGGAGGAGCTGGACCCAGGCAAGTAGGCAAGACACTCCCCACACCCCAGCACAGCCCAACCTGCTTCGCTCACAAGTGTCTCTCTGGGGATTGTGGCTCCTCGCTGGGTTCCTGGCCCTGTGGCCCGAGCCCTTGCCCTAGTCTCTGATCTCCACCTTCAGGCTCTGGCCCCCTGCTGTGCTCACCTGTCAGGCTGAAAACCATTCTCCCAGACACAAAATTCCGTCCTCATCCATGCAGGGGTCAAGCAACCATGGTCCAGAACCTTCATTCACATGTCTATTGGGCAAGCAGCTGAGCTCTGGGCCCAAATCATTACAGAACATACGGGCCACAGAAAATGGAAATGGCCAAGAATGTGCTTGAGGTGAGTGCGCAGCAGCCACCTCCCTGCCCTTCCCTCTGCCCAGAGAGGGGCGCTCAGGCACACAAAACACCGCTCATGGGTCATTCAGGATCGGGCATCTGTGCCTCCAGGTGCCGTCCCAACCACATCCCATCCCTTCTCACTTCACAAAGACTCACTGTTCTTGCCATTCAGAAAGCCACACATTGACAGGTGCTGGCCCTGCCCCAAGCTGGCCTTCTGGGTGACACTGCCCACCAATCCTATGGAGTGTGTCCTGTGTCTTGGAAGATGCTGACCAGCATCTCTGTCCCTCCCAGCAGAGACCTGGAGCAATCCTCTTTTTCATTATTTAGAAACAGCAGATTCACATTGCCAGACTAGTCAGTCTAGCAATCCTCCTGCCACAGTCTCAAATAGCCAGGACAATAGGCATATGCCACAATGCCTGGATCCTCAGGCAGTCTGGATAATCAACAATTTTTGCAGACACTGGTCAATAACCTCTGGAGACATCACTGCTAATGACCACTCAGAGCACACACCATAGCAGGTCCAGGACCAATCTCCTTAATTGGGTTTCATTCTTCCAAATTCGAACTTGAAGACAGTGGAGACCCTGGCCTAGGGAAAAGCCCCTCCCATGGAAACACAGAAAACAAACATCAAGGGCATGGTTGCTAACAAACCAACTTTAATTGATAGTGTACACAGAGGTCCAGGCAGTGGACCGGGTGGGACCAAGCCATACACCTGCCTGGACAAGTACCTGGTATACTCTCAGGGTTGGGGCTGGTGGGCAGGGGGCGGGGGGTGTTTACTGCAGGACAGAAGCAGGTACTGGGCAGTTGTGCTGAGCAGCAGGTGTTGATGTGAAGACACAGGACCAGGCCTGGGGGTTGGTGTGCAGAGCTGGAATTGAGGTGCATTAAGGATGACGATGTACACAGCATCCATGGGTAACCTGTGATCACTGGGGGAGGGGTGTGTAACATGGTCAAATCCCTGCCACTGGGAGCTCCAGGAAGAGAGGTGAAGCACGGTGTGCGTGGAAGGCCCGTGGCTGGCCCAGCTTGCAGTATGTGACCTGGGGCTGGTCACTTCTGCTTCCTGGGCCTTGAGGGAATGCACTAGAAGATTCCTACGGTTTTTAGTAACCATTAGCTTCATTACTTTGTGTGTATGTGGGTACCATGAAGAACATGTAACTCAAAGAATGCCTTACAGAAGTTAGTTCTTTCCCTCCACCATGTGATTCCAGGGATCGAACTCAGATTGAACGGCTCAGACAGCAGCAGGCGCCTTTACCCACTGAGCGTCTCAACGGGCCAGCCTCAGTACTAAAGCAACATGTGTATTACGAGCTGAGCAGGGCCTTTGGTTTTCAGGGTCACAATTCATCCCTCACTGCCACACCTATGTTGGGGACAGAAGTACCTCGCATAGCCTGAGCACTAAGGAAAGACCCAGAAGTCTTCCTGCCAGTCTACGTAAGCTCGGCTTGGGCTCTCGGCTGTTCCCACTTCCTCCAAGAGCTGTGAGTAGAAGGGGCACCACAGGTGGGCAGAGGCCAGAGCTGGGGACACACAGACTTGTCACTCTCTGTTACCTAGCACACAAGGAACCCAGTATCCAGTGGGTGTTCAGCAGGTGCTTGAGGAACTGCAGCAGAAGCAAGCTGGATCCAGGCAGAGCTGTCCTGATCTAGCTAGGCATGTGGGGGGGTTAGAGAGTCACTGTCCCCAAGGCCCAGTCATCCTCTCCTGAGGGCAGGGGAGACACCCTTACCTCTGTGACCATGGCACTGTGGGCTCTTTTGTAAGCCGCTGAACACAGGGCAGGATCTAGCTGCACAGCCTGCCTGGAAGCATGGAGGAAGGGGACCCCAGCTAAAGCAATGGGTGTGAACTGGGGAGCCCGGCCAAAGGCAGGTCACTGGGCTCTTACCATACAAGGACTTCATGTCTACTGCAAACAGAACAGAAAACAACTTCAAAACAAAGAGCAATGTCATATGGAGGAGTCTGGGAGAGGAGCCAGGAGAGGCAGTGGTCTGAGGGACATGGACACCTCTCTCTCTCTCTCTCTCTCTCTCTCTCTC